TGGAGCCCGACCTTGCGTGGCACGAGCTGCGCACAAGCGTGCAGAATGGATCTGCACGTGCAGATACAGACTCTCCACCATTTTGCGCCTGTGCCTCATTGCCAGGTATGCTCCCTACTGCTGCGTGTACAATGGCCATTGGTTTTCAACCTGCCGTCAACGGCTGAAGTACTTGCCAGCCAGGGGGGCCGTCACACGCTGCGCCTTCTGCAAAAAGGTGCATAAATCTGATATGGAGTCGATCGTGCGCGCACCCGCGCATCCTTCACAACTGGATGTGAAGATCCTCCACCGACTGCCTTTGGCATCATGGAGTCTCTTCAAAAGGGCACAAAAGTCACGGTGCCGCTGCTCAAAGCGCACAGTGGTCTTTGCCGTCACGTTCGCTGTGTTTATGCTGGTGGAAAAGCGTAGGGCGCGTGACCATTGCTGCTGGTTCACGGCATCTTGCCATTGAGCTTATTCCTGCCAGAGTCACAAAGCTCATGCTCAGCACGATCTGGCATTCCACCATTTACGGAAACCTATCCAGTTGATGGACCACAAACATCCCCATGCTTATTGCTGGTACTTTAAAGGTGTTTTCTGCGCCGCCTCGCTTCGTTAAGTACTTGAAGCCAGGCTAATTTTTTCAGAGGTCTGTGATAACGATAACCCGTCTTCACAAAATGTCTGCTTCGTCTTCTTTATAAGTTCTTCGTTTCAGCGCTTGGATCGCGCTTTGTCTGCCCATGGTTAAAGCTCTTGACGCTGCTGTTGTCGCAGTCATCTCTTCGTGGTATCGTTCCGCATGCCGCAGCTTGTCGTCCACTGCTTGGTTCTCCACCTGATGAGTTGTAAAGCAACGCTGCGGCTTTGAGCCCAACAACATGCTTTTCGGTCGCATCTCTGCTGATGTTGTATTGCAGTCTCTGCAAGCTGCAACTGTTGCTTTGCTACCATGCTTCGGCATGTGCGCCTTCTCGTCTGCTTGAGCCTTGCGCTGAGTCTTGTAAATCCCAAACCGACGCCCGTGCTTCTGCACCCAAAGCTCCATGCAGCGCAGGCCAAGCGGTGTTGCCATCAAAGAACTCTGGCACGCCTAGGCTCTTCGATCAACTATCCAACCCAAGTAGAGACAAAACCAACGACTAGTGAAAAGAACGCCGAACCCAAGAAAGCCGATTATTAAGACCAGGCTGTGAACGACAAGGGCTCAACAACTACTCAGATCAGAGAACTACTGTCAATGAAACTGCTGGACATTTTCCAAGATCGCACCACGACAATCATGCAGCCCAGGCGGCGGCGCCGCCAACATCAGCAGGTCTCTTCGCCCAAGACTCCTCCGTGAGATTGGCGAGATGCTGTGGCTAATGCACTGTGCTGCCTTTTGATCCCAGGGGATTTGGTTGCCCAGTTGTGCTTAATGCGCCCAAGTCGTCGAAAGTCGCCAGGCTTCCAGCGCAGTATCCTACAAATGGGAATGACTTCTCAGCTCATCTGTGACTTGCTCATGACTGTTTCGCACACTTGATCCATCACTGCCGCCCAATAACGGCCGATTGTCCACGCAGGGCCTGGCTTGTCCTGTGCTGCTTCAAGACGTTACCTACAGCTGCCGTTGTGGCAGCCACTGCGCCATGCCCATTACGAGTGCTCAGTGACCAACCTCGCATCTTTTTCAAGCAGGCTCCTACAAAATCTATCAAAACTTATCATCTGCTTGAAGTTTCCAGCCATGCTTCTTGTAACTGAAATGGAGTTGTCTGATGCTAAGTCTCTGGAGCAAATCGTTCAAACGCTTGATGGCCAGCAAGTCAAACGCCGCGCTTGATGCTTACCCGCTGATCTGTGCTTGGCTGCCATGGTCACAAAAGCAATGCACGGGGTTGTCGACACCATCGGAGGCATCCGCATGCATCGCTAACATCGCGGATCGCCGTGATTTTCAGGTCAGGTTTGCAAATGCCTTCACAGAGGTTTCTTCTGTGCACGCGTTCTCCGTGCCGCTTCCTGTCTGTAAATCCAGTCCGAGATGTCTTTGGATAATTCATGGTCAGGGCTTCCTTGTCGACCCTCATCAAAGGAAAGGCCAGTTCTGAAGCCTGCAGAAAGGCCAAAGTCGTGCCAGATGGTGGGGTAAAACTTCTGTGCTATATTCGCATGAGTCTACTTGCACTGTGTGATCTGCTATTTGCCTGGCGAGGAGTAGGATCACCGATGTCATCAAAAGACAGTAGACATGTTGAGGCCCTGCGTGTGATTCGTACCGCTGCTTTGCAAAGCTGAAGTGCTTCAAAATTCTACCCAGTCCGCAGGACTGAGCACCGTCAACCTTGACCACGACACGCTGACATGCTGCAAGCTCAGTCTTCAAGACCTCAGAATTTTGAATAGATGGTATGAGGCTCTCTTTGGAGGACCACAAGTCTTTCCACAGATCCTCAAAGTTCAGCTCGCGGACCCAAGCCTCGCATGCAGTCTTGCGTATGATATGCGCCGTATCTCTGCCTATCAGGCAAACATTGGGGAAAACGGCTTGCAAATAGCGCAAGCCTCGCTGCATGGCAGGGGCTCCATCAGCCATGAGACCCGTCAATGACTTTGACACCATCTCAAAAATGTGGTCTTCTCCGCAGACCTCACGCAAGACTCTCTGACAGCCATCGGCGACCTTGGTGGCATAGTCCTTGTCACACTCGGACCACTGCTGCCGCTCTTCTGGAAACAGGTTCTGCACTCCGAGCACGCCTTGCTTCCGAATTGCTCGCGTCTTGCCCGTGGTGGGGTCAGCTTCCACAAGGCTGGCGTCAAAGTTGTACAAGCGCCACTCAGCTTTGTCGTCAAAGCTCATGCTCCAGGAACTTGCTCTCATGAGAATGCTCCGCGTTTCTTCTCGCAAGGCTTCTTCCATGACAAGCGCAATCTTCTTCACGCTCTTAGCATGCATGTCCTCTCCCCCAGCAGCTCGGTGACCCATTGGGTTGAGAAACTTCAGTGTGTGTCGGACTTTGCTGGCTCCCTCAAAGCTAAGCATGCTCTTCATGCACCGCCAGGTGTACAGGTAGTCTTCCAATGCTGGCACTGCTCCTTTCAGGAGATGGGCTTGCTTGTCAAACCCTGCCAAGTCTTCCGGAAGGAGCTCAAAAACTGGCCTCTGAGGCTCCGCATATGCCACCAAAGCCCGGGCATGGATTCGACTGCTGGCATGCAGCCTGAAGACTGAGGCTTGCATGGAATCCTTGGATGTGATCTCAAACCTTGCAAACTTTGTGTTGAAGGCGGCCAGGCGAGATTTGCTCTCGGCGCGCACCACCTGACTAGCCTGGTGACAAAGATTGGCGCACACTGTGCAGCCCACACCCTTGTTCTTCTGATAGGCTAGCCATGTAACCTTGACTGGCTTGCCATCCATGTGCACTGCGCTGAAGCCACACCTGAGACAGTCAGGTGGTGGCTGATATGGTTTGCGTGTGTGCGTATCTTTGTCTGCTTGCTGGGTTGTGAGCAGCTGCGCGCCCTGGCTCAGTCTGCTGGCTTGTCCACACCAGCTTGCCTCCTTCCCTGCTGCTAGCCTAGCTGCCTCTACGGTAGGTTATTTGGCTGCTTTGTTTGCGGTGCTCAAACATTGTGCGTTTCTGACAAGGTGGTTTCAGGCTGCGTCAGGCCACTACGATCCTTGCTGGAACACAGAACTTGGGCCGGCTCCTTTGCTTCCTAATTAGTTTTCCTCTCTGGCTTGCTGGCCTGCTAGCAGGCTTGCCTCGGTTCCTCGTGAGCTGCTTGCCTGCCTTGCTTGCTGTGCCGCTGCTAACCGTGCGTCGTATTAGTATGCTTGTTTTGCTGCTCACTTGCCAGCTTGCTTCCTTCCTTCCTGCTTCCTTGCCTGCTTCCTTGCTTGCTTGATGCCTGCTTCTTTACTTCTTCGGCCCTGCAAATGTGATACTCGACTTAGCAACACACAAACTAATGGCTTGTCAAATCCAGACCGGGGTGCGGGTAAGGGTAAGGGTCAACATGAACCTGCCCTCAACATGCCCAAGCAACAACATTTGTACGAGTCGTTGTGTTTGAGGCGGAGTACACCGCAAGCTGTCTAGAACAACCGCTAAAGCAATCGCGACCAAGCCGCTCGCGCTTCCACTTCTCACCAAACTTTTGCCAGCGAGACAAAAAACTCGTAATAGGTCGCTGCTTCTTCTTTGTCTTCCCCGAAAAGCTAGGCTTTGCCCTCGAAACGGTAGGTGGGCTGCGTGCCCGCTTGACCCCGCGATCAAAGCGGGTCGCAGCCCGTTCCCCGCACCCACCGTACAAAGCGTCCAGCTTGCCCATCTTGCAAAGAAGGCTTGAGCATTAGCCCTAGTTACTGACTTCCTGGCACAAAATGCAATGGGTAGTCATTCGCACAACACGAGTCTTCTAACTGCTGTCATGTCACCTTCAAACTGAACTGTGTATGACACATACTGAAAGGGCTGCGAGCTTCGGCCGGCTCAACCTACAAAGACATGCAACAACTGCTGGGAACATGTGGCAGCACTAGAAAAAAAGAAGCCCGCTAGCAAGCCGGGCAACCTCAAAGAAAGAAAGCAAAACCCACAAAAAATACACCTTGGCAATCAAATGCACCAAGCGAGCATACGGCACCCTCACGCTGACCAGTCTAGACAACGGCTTTCCCTCGTCCGTTCAGCAGGGCCAATGCACCATCACTGGCCTGGTGAGTAGTTGACGTTCCGGCCTCAGTCGGAGCGGACAACGCAAGCCAGCCATCATTCCGCGTGAACTGTCAACCAAGCTGGTTTTTTCTCTGCGCGCTTTGTTGGCTCAAAAGCATGACGCACGCATGCAGAGGTGCGTCGTAGGCAACGCAAATCTGACCACGCTGGCAAACAATACAAAAAGACAAATGCATCGAACACGGAATCTGCTCACCAACTCTCTTCATGCACCCTGTTTCCCATACTGTGGCCCAACCTCAAAACTTCAAAGCCTAGTACGCTTTGTTGCGTCTGCTCTCACTTGTCCTGCGCAGCAACTTCCTCCCAAGGCGCCTCACCCTCCAAAGTGATGGGCTCTTCGGTGCCACTCTCTTCCAGCTCCTTACGGTCATTGTAGGGGAGTCTTGTTTCTTCAGTTACGGGTGATCGTAGTCCCTGTTGCACGCCCAGGCACGCGCACGTGCAAAAGCCAAGCGCGAACACAAAGTTAGGCAGGCTGTTTGGTATACTTGAATGGACTGTAACCACTCTCATGGCCAACTGCCCTTAGGGCAAGTCAAGTTTTCGGGCCGATTTGCAAAACCGACGCATTCTAAACACTTACATATCCCATGTGTACAGGTTTGCAGTACAGCAGGCATCCACAAAGGGGCAAGCGCTTGCGGATCGCTCAAATGTTGCCCTGTGGTTGTGTGCTTTCTGGGAAAGAGTTGAATGTGGGAAGCATGTGTGACGCCAGGGCACGGATTTGAAGATCTCATTGATGCTCTCTGAAAGCTGCTTGTTGAACAGCATGTGGCCAGTCTCAACGATGTGGCGCAAAGCAGATTTGTCAACCGCATTGGCCACGAAGTTCATGTGCGATGTGTGCTTGGCTATACCGACATAACTGATGCCTAACTGTAGGGCTGCCTGGGCCGCTTGGCCCGATCCGATTTCGGCATCTATGACGAGAGTTGGCTTCAGCGTCTGAAAGAGCGACTTGTAAAAGGAGCAAGATTTCGACTCCTGCCAAAACAATGGCAAGCCCTTGGCGGCTGGCCAGCCTCCAGGTGCCTCTGCAGCACCCATGATGGCTTTCTTGTCCGCAACCGTGATCTTGGGCAGCGTGACGGGGAACTTCATTCCGCTGAATGAGGTGTAGAAGGATGATTCCTCCATGAGGTCTTCTTGCTCGTGCTCCTGTCAGTGCAGACTTGGAAAACTCGCTTGATTCTCAACTCCACAGTTACACCAAAACACAAACGCTGTGTGCCTTCTTCTCACATTGCGTGGTACTGACACTTGGGCATGCGTGGAATACGACTGCGTCACACCCTGCCTGCAGGTTCAGCGTCGTTTTCGGGAACCCGTGAAGCATGAAGCACATCTCACGCGTGACGGAGGAGAACGCAACACGGCGAGTTGGCATGCAGCCCTCGTTGGGGCGTCCGAGGTACGTCAGCCAGATCCTCGGAATGTCGGCCAGATTCGAAGGTCATCAAACCACCATCCGCTCGCCCAATGCTTGGACCAAACACAACAAAAAACATGCGTGCAAGGGTCTCCTGGCCACCAATCTGGTCGTCCAAGTGTTTTCGCCAAGACTTGCTGCGCCCGTCGAAGAAGAAGGATGCGTGGTTCTGGCGGCTCGACAACGTTTTGATGAGGTCGAGTCGCTCTTGCGTCTCTTTGACAATCTGAGCGGGCTTCTGGAACACATTGGACCATGGTTCCTTGCCCTCCCCCGACAAATCTGCCGCCCACAGCGCCACCACGTAGGAGCCAGAGGCGGGGGAAAAGGCTTTGACCGGGCCACAAGACCTTGTTTGGTCTCATGGAAGCCAATAAAGCAAAATCCACAAAAAATGCCGCTTTGACACACACACACACACACGGACACCTGCGTGCAAGGAGCGAGATCATCTCCAGCAGCTCCTTCGATGTCTTGCCCTTGCCGACAAAGAAGCGGACGTACTTCGAACGGTGGGCGACGCAGCTTGACCACAGATTGTCGCGCTCGGCCACGGCTCGCTTCAAGGCGGACTCTTCACCAGGAGCCTCCGGATCACTGGAGAGCCGAATGAGCTCCCTGAGCTTCGGCATCGGGGCCTTGCAAGCGCCTGCGCCGTTTGGCCGACACAAGTTAGCCCCCGGGTTGTGAAACCTTCTTGGAGCCCTCTTGCAAAAAATGCCAGCAACACCTTTTCCCATCGTTAAAACACGTAAAGCCACAAGCCAACTCGCTGAGTCTGAAAACATGGCCATCGTTGCGTTGCTAGTTTTGGGAAGCTCGTCACAACCTTCCTCACTAGCTTGCGCCCTCTGTAAGACTTGAACAAGGAGGGAAGTGCTTGTGTCAATCGGAACGCTTTACATGTGCCTCCGTAGCAAGCTTTTGTTTTTGCTTGCTTTCTCCCTTACTCTATCTCGAAAAGACGCCTTATCAAGCTTTCGGGAACAATTTAGCGGCATTTGTTCCGGCCGCAGCAAGTGCTGCCAGACATTTTCATGGTTTGGGCTATTTTGGATTGCAGCTGCTTTTCTGTAGACCGTTGGTAGCAAATGTGGGGAAACAGGCGCTGCTTTAGAAGCTCGCTCCGCTTTTGCTTCTTTTTCTTGGAAATGAATCGACCACGCAACCTTTGTAAAGCAATGAGCCATGGTAGGCAATGTGAAACGACCGCTTAGCGAGAACATGCCCGGTCAGTCCTGTGGCAGCCATAGTGGCGGTCTCATGCATGAGCTCCATTTCCGACATGAACTTTGCGACATACTTGCCCCACTCGCCGCTGTCCTCCGGCGGAGATGTGATGTCTTTCAAGGCCTTCTGGAATGCATCGCTTCCGGCTTGAAGCCACAAAGACTGAAATTCCTCTTCAAGGTCGCAAGCCAGCAAGGCATGCAACCACTCGGCCAGACTGCGTGCGAAGGATGACATAGAGTCCATGGCAGTGCCAGCCTGGTCATCCTTCTCCTCTGACTGCCCAGACGATGCCACCATGCGTTTCCCGAACAACTGCACAGACACAAAGAAGTCCATGGCATCATGCAGCTCCTTTCTGGCATTCACATCTTCTGTCAGAGCGTCGATAATGCTCTTCACGTGGTGAACTGCCGCGTACTTGAGGATGGTAGCCTGACCCCATGTCAAGGTGGTGGTGGACTTACTGTCTCCCCACGAATCACTCTTCTTCAAAGAAGCAAGAGAGATCCAATTCTGGTCCAAGGCCAGGCAAGTGTAATCTATCACCCACGCCAGAGCCTCCGAAGATGGCTCCATGCCAAGCTTCTTCAGCACACTCTGCATGGCCAGCATCAACCGCAGGAGACTTGTGTAGTGCTCGGTTAGAGCTGCTCGACCGTGCTTTCTCTGCAGCTCGGCGATGGCTTCCTGGACGCTGTCAGACAGCAAGTACTGCTGCCCCAGCCTGACCACATGGATTCAAGAGGAAACCACACAGCAGCAAGAATTCGGCCAAGAAGCCTTGCTGCCTTGACAACGTTCTCATTCAAGTCCTTACCCTCAAACTTGATGCCCTTCTGGGACAGGTACGTCTGTATCTCCCCCACCTTGCCCGTGAAATCCTGCATCGCCAGGCAGTACTTTGGAAGCCAGGTGACGAACGTGTCTGACATGGCCAAGTTGATTCTGTTGTCATGGGAGAAGGTGATTGACAATCGCGCCAACTCTGCCTTGGAGTGCAAAATGGCCAGTCTCAAGGGCAAGGACCGAGCCGCTTCCAGAAGCAGTCTGACCATCCCAAAGTCACGGCTGCCCTGCGCGCGTGTGACCTCCCGCATGAGTGCAAGCAAAAGGCCCCACAGAGGTAGCAAAGCAGGGCCGACCACGTTCAGCCCAGATGGAAAGCTGGACTCGAGCTCCAGCTTGTCCGCATCCTGCGCCCACACATAGCACGGGATCAAGGAAGTGGTCACCACCTTGCCCTTCACCAGCTGGCACAATCGATCCGAATAAGCCACCACGTCATCCCACTGCATGTGCTGCGTCTGCGCATCGTTCTCTTGCGGAAAGGTGTGAAGCCACCACAGCACCCCAGCAGCTTCATACATCTCACAAGAACGAATTGCAAGGGCAGCGTTGCTTTCCCGCCAACGCTCACGGAAAGCTGAGGACTGGCCCTTGTCGCTGCCACCCTTGATCTCTAACGGTGGCAGCTGGAGAAGGTCCGTGACGGCTGCGTACTCTGGCAGCTTGCTCTCGCGCAGGACAATGGGCAAAATCTCGTGTAAGTGCGGGATGAGCTGTCTCATCTGCTTTTCAGCAGCACCCGTCCACGAGGAATCTGGCTCTGTCCAAGGGTGGGGCGGCTGCTTGGCAGGCTGGGGCTTTGGCCGCTTTGCTGGGATTACCTCCTGGGTCGAACCCTGCTCTCGCTTTTTTGGCGCCATGTCAAGAGGCCAGACCACTTTCTCGAAAGAAATCTTGCGGATGAGGCCAGCTGGGCGGCTCGGACTCAGCAAGCTGCAAGATCTAAGCTGGAACAAAAACACAATCAAGTCTCTTGGCCGGAGAGGAACCGTCATGCTGTAAACGCTGCGCCCGCAAGACCTAGACGCAAGATATGTACATATTCGGCCAAGCCCTTACAATGAGTCAGCGCCGCTCGGGCTTTCGTCCCATCCAAAAGCGCCAGACGCTCAAACTGCAGTATGACACTGTGTCCCAGAATGGAAAAAACAGATTCTTTCAGCTCACTGGCGTTCAAAACAAGTGATCAGGGCTTATGGCAACTCCGACACACTCCGAACCCTTTTTTATTCCTACAGCTGCTCTGCTTGAGTGGCAGTGACGCATAGCAGCGTGCGAAACAACTAAGGATCAACTCCAGGCTCCAGGCTCTGCCGCGAAGAAGGGTTGCACCAAGTCCTATGCGATCAGAAGAAGTGTCTGGGACACATGGGGGAGCGCTTTCTTCGAACACTTCTTCAACTCTTTGCATTGAGAAGGGTGTTGCTGGGGAGGCATGCCACTGGCCCACAAAAGGATGAGACGTGAGACGCACACTCGAAACTCGAAGCCAGCCGGCTGATGCCATGATCCCACACTCAAACTTGCCAAAAGATTAATCAGGCTCACTCCAGCTCGCAAAAGGGTGCACGGCCTCAAAGGCGCGCAGGGGCTGGCGCTGCAGTTGGCGCAGCCGCCCCAGGACCGCAAGGCCGCCCTGGAAACGGAATGCAGAAGTATGGTCCAAGCGACAGATGGAAATTCTGGAGGACCAGGATAACTCGAATCGAAAAAAGTTACTGGTAACTCTTGGTGAAACGTAAGAGACTGGCCACCTGAGCGTTTCAACTCTTTGCTGCTGCGCATCTTCGGCTGAAAACATGGCACTGGACGTCCAAACAAATACACCCAGAGTTACCAGTAACAGTGGCTGAAAATTGCAAAACTCAAAAATGGATTCCAGACAGCTTCGGAAAAAACTTGAGCCCTTCACCGCACTTCTCAATAAACTGAAGCTTCCGAGCCTAAACCAGCCCGGCCAACTAGATCCAAGCAACCTGCACGCTCGAAAGCCAACTTGCTGGGGCTGCTACGGCAGTAGTAGTCATGCGCAAGACATGTGCATTTCTGCAGCTAAGCCCTTACAAAGAGTCAGCGCCGCTCGGGCTCTCGTCCCAGAGGCCCCATCCAAAGGCTCCATATGACGCTGTGTCCCAGAATGGAAAAATGCTTCTTACAAGTGTTCCGGGTGTGTGGCAACTCTGACACAGTCCGAGCACTTATTTGATCCTCTTGAGTGGCAGTGACGCATAGCAGCGTGCGAAACAACTAAGGATCAACTCCAGGGCTCCAGGCTCTGCCGCGAAGAAGGGTTGCACCAAGTCCTAGGCGATCAAGATAAGTGTCTGGGACACATGGGAGAGCAAGCTTTCTTCGAACACTTCTTCAACTCTTTGCATCGAGAAGGGTGTTGCTGAGGAGCATGTGGCCCACAAAAAGGATGAGACATAAGACGCACACTCGAAACTCGAAGTCAACCATTCCATGATCCCCCACTCAAACTTGCCAAACAAATTAATCAGGCCCAACCAAAGACTGATGAGGGGTCAAATAGCAGGGCCTCAAAGGCTGGTGCTGTAGTTGGCGCAGCCGCCCCAGGCAGAGCCCGCAAGGCTGCCCTGGAACGGGAAACTACGGAGTTCTCTCCAAATGAAATGCCGTTTTCCGTTGA